CAGGAACATTTCCAAAATTCTTTCTTTGAGTTTGCTATTTTAAACTGAAGGCACAGGTACCTCTTAAACTAAAATAAAGGAAAAGAAAAGAAAAAAAGAACTTGCCATCACATGAAAAAATTCAGAGAAGTTCAGGAATTACCATTCTTTTATCTGTATTCCAAATAGGACTCAACAGAGAGAAATAATGCAATCAAAAGTGCATCTATGGCAAATGATCAGGCCTATAAGATTCACTTTTTTTAATGGGATGAAGCTTACATAAGTGTATATGTTAGTTAATATTCAATGAACTGTTCTCTTAAAATGGGTAAATCTGATTAAATATAAATTTAAAATTAAAAAATGGGTACCTAAAAGTTCTACTGTATTTAGGTAGGTCTCTCTCTCTCCAACCCCAAAATCATACTTCAGAATTGCCTTCACAGAGATAATAAATTACAAAGCACAAAGCATATCATTCTAGTTACGTATAACACCAAATCCATTATAAAGCATATTCAAAGTTTCTTCCAATCAATGTCTTCTATCCTTCAATCATCCCATTTTAAAATACACATCCTAATTATCATTAGAAGGCATCACAACTGAACTTTGTACTTGAATACCTATAGAAATAAATGAGAATCAATAGAAAATAAAGTATAAATGAAGACTTTCATTGATTATCCTTTTTCTCTGTTGAAAATGACTAAGAATTATTTTGTTTTTATACGTTTTATTAAGAGTTTGAGGGATGCCTGGCCAGGAGTGGGTCAGCGGTTGAGCATCGACCTAGTACCCAGGAGACCGCGGTTTGATTCCTGGTCAGGGCACATGCCTGGGCTGCAGGCTCAATCCCCAGCATGGGCCCTGCAGGAGGCAGCCGGTCAATGACTCTCTCACATCATTGATGTTTCTCTCTCCCTCTTCCTTCCTCTCTCTGAAATCAATAAAGATATATTTTTTTAAAAAAAGAGTTTGAAGGAGATACATTTTCTAAATATGACAAATTTACATAGAAATTGAAAACCTGTAAAATGTTTTGTAGGCATCCTCATTCATCTGGAAGCCTTGATCAGGCTTACATCAGAATAAAAACTCTTTTATAAGAGAAAGCCATGTCCTTGGGAACTGCTCCTTTATTGTAATCACTGAAATAATTTTAAAATAGAATTAGTATATGAAGTTACAAAGACATAGAATTACTAATTTGTTTATTGTTATACATAAATAACCTTCTAGGTTACTTTTCCAGAAAAAAACAACTAGTAACTTCATTCATTAGGTTTGTAGTAACATTTCTGTTGACAGCTCCAGTCATTTGTTGAAGCTAAAATTTTCTACATCTATTAGCTATTAATGACTGTCAATAAATGATATTTTATATTCAAATTTCACAATCTCAATTTATAGCTGAGATCTGAAGCTAGGTTAGTATTCTCAAAAACTAGTAACTATAATCAAACAATGGTTATTTTCTTCATAACAGAATTATCAAGGGAAACTCAAAATTCGCTTTTTTTTAGTTTTTCCTTTAAGTACATACATATTATACATAATAATCACCAAATTTTGATTAGATACTGTTATTGGTATTAAGACAAGGTTTTTGATTATAGTGGGAAATATAACTATTTCATTAGCTTCAGTAAGCCCCTGTGCCTGTCTATGAACTGTCAATCTATAAAAACATTAACAAGTGAGAATAGAGATGAAAGTAATTTAGCTGAAGATAGCTTGTACCCTATAGACTTCCAGGTGTGTAGTTTTTCTGGCTGGGTAGGTTAATATAGCCTTTCATACTTCCAAAGCTAGAAGAGCCTAAATGAGTTTCTGCTAGAAATTTAAGACATATAAGTCACAAAACTGAAAAGTATATTATCTCATTTACAAGCAGTAAAGATTTCAGTTTAAACCAATTATTTTAATTACCGATGGAATACTAAATAGGATCATAAAAAAAAAGCATGCCAATATCGTTTTAATAGCTTTTTTTTCTTGCTAAAGAAACATCAGTAAATATTATCGTTAAGCCACATTTTAATATATATGTACATGTATATGTAAACACAGACATCCATATTTCAGAAATGAAAAACTGTCTAAACGACTCCACCTTCTTATTTTATTCAATCATCCAATAAATATTTATTAAGCACCTATTATATGCCATTTAGGACTACTCAAAATCATTAGTTTTTAAATAATTTGCCACATAAAATAATGGTAATTCCTGAACTGTTCTGAAATTTTTTAATGTAGTGGTAGGTTTATTTTAATTTTTAAAAAATTAAAGAAAGTGTTTTTGAATCAAGTGGAAAAGTTTTTCTATCTCTAAGAATCATATAAGCGTAATCTGCATTCATTGTATTATTTATTTTGTTATTGTTTTTTACATCTGTTCATTGCATTAGTAATTTAAAAATTTTATATCTTGGCACTTCAGAGGAACTTTTAGGGCCAGTGTAACTAACCTTAATTTGCAACTTAATTGGAATTTCCAAATAGGCCACATTTCTTATTATGGGCCATGGTACACATAAGCAAATACAAAATTCTTTTAAAGTTGACACCTTTTTCACAATGTCTTATGTACTCAAGATACCTAGTTGGTAAATTGCCTTCCCTCATCAGCATTCCTCCTCATTCAGGATTTCCACCAAGTTATACTATGGTCTTTTCTTTTTCCCCTAATAGACCTATTCTGTACTACCAATGCTTTGTTAGAGTCTCACAATTCAATCAGTTCTTGTCAGGTCATCTCTCTCATAATGATAACTGTGTGCCCTAAAACCCTTTTCCTTTTCAGGATACTTTGGAAAAATTACTCAGTTCCATTTTTTGTGTGAACAAAATAAAGAGTTTAGTTTTCATCTAGTAACTATTTATTAGGTACCTACTTATGTGTCAGACACTGGGCTAGACCTCAGAAATGAATGATAAGCATAAAAGCAGTGGTTAGAGATATTCCTGTAGCACCCGGCTGGTATGACTCAGCAGTTGAGCATTGACCTAGGATCCGAGAGATTGAGGTTCGATTCCCAGTGGGGGCACATGCCTGGGTGTCGGGCTTGGTCCCCAGTGGGGGGCATGCAGGAAGCAGCCGATCAATGACTCTCTCATCATTGATGTTTCTGTCACTTTCTCCCCCTGACCCTTCCTCTCTATGAAATCAATAAAGACATATTTTTTTAAAAAAGAAAGAAAAAATATTCCTATAGCGAGGAAAAGAATAATCACTGATTTTAACGTGAGCTTAGATCTCATAAACAGTGCAATCAATCTTGAAAGCTCTTAAAAGTACCCAGAAATCCTATTTATAAACATTCTTCTAAATACCCATCCATCTCTTAGTAAACTTGCTTTACTTTAAGCATTAATATTTAGGATAAAGATGTTTTATACAACATAATTGTTTTTATATTTAGTTTCATCACTAGAACTGATTTTCTAATATTTTTCAGGATGGCGATGGTTTTGCTACTCTGTGAGTAAAATATATTCTTAGGCTATAATAAAAGCCAAACAATAATTTATTAAATTGTTTCCCAGGGAAGATGGAAGCCAAATTCCCAACAACCAACTCACAAATAAACTTTTCAAGTACAAAACATTTGTAAACTGGGGATGACGTATTCTTTATTTCGATCTGAGCTTGAGAAATGGTGCCACTAACATAATAACAATGAATTACTAGTTTAAAATAAAAACTATTTTGAAGATTATGAAGCTGTGTGCCAGTCCTCCATCAGTCCAAGAAGGATTAAGTGTGGGAAATTCTGTAAAGAAGTAAAAGTTGGTTTGTGATATTATCTCTATTTTATTTACTTTTGACTTTAAGTATAAGATACTGGTCCAGAAAAGGTTTCCACAGACCAGCTGAGTTTCTTATTATACATAGATCAACAGATAAATAAATAAATAAATAAATAAATAAATAAATAAATAAATAAAAATAAATTCCACAAAACAAAACCTGTTCTACTGGTTTCTGTACACATAAAGGAAATATTAGAGAAAGTACAGCCATTTTATATTACGTCTAGGGTACAAATCCTTTTAATATGTTTACTGACTGATGAAGTTTTCATTTCAGCTAAGTTGTTCTGTCTTAAAGAACTCACTTGAATCAATAAGATGTTTTTGAGGCTGGCACAGAGTAGATTAAAAACTTTCCTTAGAATGCTGCATCTTTACATAATGACTCATTTTAGCAGCTAATAATATATACTTCCTTCCTCCAACAGAAGAATGATTACATGCCTTCCACTGATGACTTTAAAATGACATAAAATTTGCATAGAGTCTCCTATGTTAAGTTTGTATCAGAATGTGAATACCTATTTTAAGAGTTTCTTTTTCTTTTTTCTGCTCTATTGCTTACATACATATATGCATCTGGTTATCCTAGTTCTCCAGTGGACCAACATTATATGATAGCTTGGTATCAGCTATAAGAACAAAATAACTGCATTGTTCCTTAATTTAAAATCTATGTGCATTAATTTTGTATCAAATGGTAAATCTGATATGTAAACTGTCTAATTTTATTTTCATTACAGAACTTTCAAGAAGTCATGTACCACTTGAATGAGAGAATGCTGTAATTTATAATAACTGAAAAAACCAAACATCACACTGATATTTTAGACACTAGACAAAGATAACTTGAATTTTCACGAAGTTGAAAGAGAAACATGAAAAATTATATACTTCCATTATTTTATTTTTGGAAACTCTTTGTAAATAAAGCCCATTTCCAAAATAAGATATTTCACAAACAGAGAATAGTTGGTAGTGATTCAAGTGTCTTAGGCAACAGAGGAGTATTGTTTTGTAGTCTTTGTTTTTTTAAACCTCTCCTAGTAACAGCAGTTTATCATTTAAAAAGAAACAAGGTAACAACATGATTTAAAATGAATATATAAGCAATAACTGTAAAACCTTAACTGAAACTAAAGTTTACCATATCAATTCCACTTCTATGAACTGGTATAGACAACCTGGTTGATACTCACCAAATGTTATAGAAATCCCAGGCTCATCTAAGCAACAAAAAGTAGACACATGGTGAGGTGCTGAAGACAGCTCTCTCTCCGACTAAAAGGACTTCAGATGAAGGAGCCTTTATCTTCCATTCAACAGGAGATTCCTATTACCAAAGCGTGGCAGAGAAAAGAGTTTCCACAATCCCGTCTTGACTTTCTGCCTCTCTCTTTGAAGAGTAACAGTTACCACCGGAAAACGTTAGCAGAAAATGATCGCTTGAACACTCACACAGGGCAGCTGTAAATTTCCACTCTCTTTGCTTGCTCTCAGATTCCAAGCGTTGCTTGTCTTTTAATCTGTCACAGGCAGTTCTGTTTCTGGTCAAACCAGCTTGCTTATGTGTTCTCTTCTCCCTCTCTAACACCCTTTTTAGAAACATAACCAGAGTCATAGCGCCCTCTTTTTCTTCCTCTCTCCAAATCTTGCAATGTCACAAGAAGGTGTATAAGAAAATTAAGCTGAGGCAAATTTAATTCTTGGCCAAAAAAAGAATCTAGGGATAAACAAAAACTTTTCTCATCACATTTTTTCCCTTTAAGTCCTATACTTGTTCATGCACGGGTTTTGTCAACAGATTAAACTGGTCTGACTATCTTGTTTAAAAATTTAAATAAAGGTTTCTAATAAAGGCATAGTGATAGTGATAATAACAGATTTATCTGCTAATAGGTTAGTTTCTCAGGGAGGACGGTATTCCCAATCATAATAAGAAAGCGTAGCAAGTACTCAAAAAATTTTATCTTGAAATTTAAATATGCAAAAAATTTAATTTTGAAATTTAAAAAGGAGATTTTAGAATTAGAGTATTCATAATTTAATTTTAAGAGTAATTTTGTGAAAAATTAATGTATTTTTAAATAGGGTATATTTTGAAATTTAGGATTAACACCTGCAATTATAAAAGGGAAACTACAAAGAACATAAAAAATATTGACACTAAAGATAATAAATAGAACAACTTAACCCTGGCCAGCGTGGCTCAGTTGGTTGTAGTGTCATCCCATACAACAAAAGGTTTCCAGTTTGATTCCTGGTCAGGGAAGATACATAGGTTGAGGGTTCAATCCCTAGTGGGGGTTCGTATGGGATGGCAACTGATCGATGTTTCTCACATTGATGTTTTTCTCTCTCTCTCTCCTCCCCCACTCTCTGAAATCAATAAGCAGGTAAGGATTAAAATAAATAAAAAACGAACTGTTTATACCATTCATGTGCAAACCCAATGTAATTATTTTGTTTAGAAAGTCTCCCCCCGCCCAATACACACATATAAGCATTGGTGAGGATGAATAATATCTCTTCAATGAAAATTTACAAGGCTAAAGGCTACAAAAACTTTGTTTTCCATTATTATACATGTATAATTACAGAGTAAAATATCTTGAAATTATGGATCTCTCTGTAAGGTTTGGAATGAGGAATTAGGTAGAAAGCTGAGTGAGATGGTTGGTGACAAGCTTATGTGGCATTTGTAGGAGTCTTTGGAATTAGGAGGCAATGTATACAGCTTAGAATACATGCTGGATCTGTGAGAATGCTACTCGGAGCCTGTTTTCAAGTATTTTGTCCTAGCTCCAAAGATTTTTGGGTTCTCTGTCTTCTACTATGTGTTACCAATAAAAATTCTTGGATTCTTCTGATGACAGACATCCCAATTACAGAGCTGATGGAATTAGTTATTAGCCCTATTATTATTTTAATCCTACTCTCTGCAGAACTAAAATATCTCTAAGAATATGAGCTTAAATAAAGTGAAAGGTAAATATCTTTAAATAGTTGTTTACAATCCTTAAGAAAGATAAGCAAATAAAGCTTGATTTATTTCTTAATCTATACATCATACATTTACTATATACTTCCTAATATACATATTTTCTATTTAAAAACATTTGTTTCTTAATCTGGTTCATTTAGATTTTTAAAATTTAAATATAAGCTAATTTGCATCTTAACACCTAAGAAATAGGCACCACAGAGGACTAGAGATTAGTCTGCCGATTATTCCTTCAATTAGTAGTTGTTTTAGAATTTAGAGGTTTTTTTAAAAAACATTTTTATTGATCTTTAGAGAGAGAGGAAAGGAGAGGGGAGAGAGAGAGAAACATCAATGTGGGAATGAAACATCAATTAGCTGCCTCCTGCACACCCACTACCAGGAATTGAGCCCACAACCCAGGCATGTGCTCTGACTGGGAATCAAAATGGCAACCTTTACATGCACAGAACGATGCCCAAACACACTGGCCAGGGCTAGAGTTTTATTTCCTATTTTTAAAGAAATGGAGATTATGCCAAATCACTAAAAGGAATCAGATGCCTAGTACTTCCTGAGTCTAAGATTATACTAAGAATTCCAGCATAACTGAAGAAATAAAGAATTTGTGTGTGGGGGGGGGAGGGGGGCGCAGGTACCTAAGAATAACCACAAGGTTAATTTTCATAAGCAACTTTAAAATTGGGAGATGCTACATCTATCTATGATTCTAAGACACAAAATAAAGACATGATATTTTAAATATATAATAAGACTGAGTACCTATGATTGCATGTAGTTTATATTTGATACCTGCTAAATACCATTTTTAAGATGCATACAAAGAAATAACAAAAAGTGACCTTATATTAGACCACAAAGAAACCAATAAATTACCAAAGGAGACAAGGTACAAGCTTCATCCTCTGAACACAAGATGATAAAATTAGAAGTTACTTAAAATTTTTTCAAGGAATAAGCAAATATTCTTTAAAAAACCCCTCTTAATACTTGAAAATTAAAAAGAATACTCTGATCTTGGTCAGAGGAATGGCGGCATGAGAGACCCATGCTGCCTCTCCCCCTGAAACTTCAGCAAGTTGATAAACCATAACAAAGGACCCCCTGCTCAATATAGAAGCATGCCTGAGAGACCTGCACATTGAAGTATCTAAAAATGGGCAACTTGGAGTAAATGGGGAGGCAAAAAGGGAGGAGAGCCCAGATGGCCACATATGCAGCCCTGCAGCCAGAAGCTGGCAACCGGCTTGGCCCAGAGAGGGGAGGAAACTGGTGGTAGCAGGCCCTACTATGGGCCAGGAGGAACAGAGATTCCCAGTGGGCTCCCCAGCAGGGTGAGTGGTGCAAATAGCAGCTGAGCCAGCAGAGAAACCCAGGCAAGGACAAAGCATAGGGGTTCTGCCACAGCTGTCCACTGTATGCTGTCCTGTGGTGGTGTTTCAGACAAAGAAACAAGCCACAGAGCCCTGCCACCCCTTGGACTCCCAAAACTCGCCTCCAGTTGCCCTTAGTGTCAGGTTGAGAGCACATTATCTGCAAACCAAGAGCTATGGCAGTAGAAGCAATGTTTCCCTCTCTGATGGTTCCCAGGTGGGGTCTGTTGGGGGGAACCCCTGGAGGTCTGGGGTTGCCATTAAGGTGAGGGCAAAGCAAACCCCACCCCAAAGCAGTGGGGCTGTACTATCTGAGGGAAGTGGACGAGGGCAGCTCTGAGAAGTCTCAGAGGTAAAAATCTTGTGATTCTGCACTACCAATTGGAAAATAATAGAAATACCTCTTCAGAGAATGCTGCTACAAGAAGGTCAACAACACACAGATGCCTAGACAGCGGAGACCAGCAAATACCATGAATAACTACGGTAACGAGGAAGTTCAAAAAGAAAACAGAAAATCTCCAGAAAGCAAGCTGGAACACATGGAAATATGTGATGTAAAAGACAGAGAATTTAAGATGGCAGTTCTGGAAAAACTCGAGATGTGAGAAAATAGACATGCAATTCAATACATTCAGAAAACAAATTAAGGAACAAAGTAAGTGCTTTACCAAAGAGAATGAAACTTTGAAAAAAGAACCAATAAAAAATCCTGGAAATGAAGCATGAAATTAAGGAGAGTAGGAGTGAGCATAGGAAAAAGAGCCAATCAGATGGAGGAAAGAATTAGTGACATCAAAGATAGGAATCTAGAAATGATGCAGAGGGAAGAAGAAAGAGACTTGAGCATAAAGAAAAATGAAAGAGCTCTACAAAAACTATCTGACTCCATTAGAAAAAGCAATATTAGAATACTAGGCATTCCATAAGAAGAAGAGAGGGAGAAGGGGATGGAGAGTCTATTTAAACAAATAGTGGATGAGAACTTCCCAAACCTATGGAAAGAACTAGGTCCTCAAATTCAGGACACCTTATTACCTCAACCCAAAGAGGTCCTCTCCAAGGCGCATTGTATTAAAACTGTCAAAAATTGAAGACAAAGAAAAAATTCTCAAAGCAGCCAGGGAAAAGAAGGAAGTGACCTACAAAGAAAATCCCATCAGAGTATCATTTGATTTCTCAACAAAAACTTTACTAGCCATAAGAGAGTGGAACCAAATGTTCAAATGACTGAGAGAAATTACCAGCCAAGAATAATATATCCGACAAAGTTATCCTTTAAATATGAAAAAGAAATAAAGACTTTTCTAGGCATACAGAAGCTGAGGGGATTTCTCACCATGAAACCTCTATTGCAGGAAATAATCAAGGGAGTTATTCTACCTGAAACAAATAGCATAAGGTCACAACACTACGAGTAAGATCACCAAAAACTTACAGCATAAACAGGGATAATTTGTGACAACAAAAACATAGAAGGGGAGGGGGTAAATGTCTGAACTGGCAAAGGAGGATGGAGATCAGATGCATTTAAAGGGAAAAAAACCTACTATATAATGCAACTTTACTTTTCATAAACCTAATGGTAAACACACACAAAAACCCCCAAATTAAGACACATAGCTTAAAAAAAAGAGGAAGCAGGGGAAAGAAGTATAGAACACCACCAAACAAAAACAACAGACAGAAACACAAAGGAAAAGAACCAAAGGAGGCACAGAGTTACCAGAAAATAAAAGATAAAATGGCTATAGGGAATCCTCATACATCAATAATTATCCTAAATGTAAATGGTCTGAATTCACCAATAAAGAGACACAGAGTATCAGAGTGAATAAAAAACAAAACCCAACCACATGCTGCCTTCAGGACATATCTAAGCTGCAAAGATGAAGATAGATTCAAAGTGAAAGGGTGGAAAATGATTCTCCAAGCAAATAATATCCGCAGAAAGGC